GGATCGCCGGGCCGCCGCCGCCCTCGCCGCCCCCTGCATGCCCGGCGCCCGGGTCGCGGCCCATCTGGACGCGCTGGGCCCCCTGGCCCCCTTCGTGCTGCCGCCGCTGCTGCCCTCTATGTTCTACGTGGGCTTGTTCTTCGTCAATGTGCTGATCCTGTACTACGCCTTCCTCATGGAGTACATCGTCCTCAACGTGGGCCTCGTCTTCCTGCCCGAGGACATGGACCAGGCACTCGTGGACCTCGGCGTGCTTTCGGATCCCGGCTCGGGCCTCTACGACGCCGACTCAGAGCTGGACGTCTTCGATGGATACTTGGAGTAGGGCCCTGGCTGCCGTTTCCCCCGCCCACCACTACCCGCCACCCTCGGCCTGGACCAGCCGCCCAGATCATGCCGCCGCTGCTGTTTTGTGGCACCGTCTGGCCTGGCTGGGGATGGGACCCCCCAAGGCAAGTTCCTCCCGGGCCTCCTCCGAGGCCTGTAAGTGCCCTGGCTGCTCGAGGTGAGGGCGGGTTGGGACGTTGGTGGCAGAGAGGGAGGCATGGCCAGGCCGGACACACACCCGTCTCCTGGACTTCTGACTCCTCCGCCCACCTCCTCCAGATCTACCAATGCCAGGAATGGCAGGACCCCTCTTAGACCCTTAACTGGGGCTCAAAAACCTCCCTTAGCAAAGGTGACAGCTGTTGAGCGGGGGAGGGGGAGGCAGGGCCTAAACGGTGTTTGGGAAGCCGTGGGACCTACCACCACAGCAGTATGGAAAAAGCCTTGCACCCAAATCCATTTGAGGCAGAGCTGTCAGCTCCTCCCCCCATCCTCAGCCTGGCTTGATGGTGACCTTGGCCTTCTGGGGAGTCTCACCAGTCTTCGGAGGATAAAGATTTGGGGTGTCAGAAATAAGGAGCCAGCCTTGGTAGTGTGGCTCCTTGGGGGACTTGGTGGGGACTGAGTGCAGGAGCCCCAGGTGGAAGCTGGGAGAGGAGCAACCTCATTCAGTAAAGAACCCGCACTTCCTTTTGGCCTTGCTCTGCTGCTGTTTTTGGAGTCGGGTTTCAGGGTGCCCCAGCTCTGCAGCTCCGGTCTGCAGGGGCTGCCAGGTTTGCAGGCTGCCTTCATGGAACAGGCACGCTGTGGGGTGGGGCTGGCGCTGACATTGCCTGCAGTGTTTACAAAGCCTCAGGAGCTCTGGGTCACCAGGAGAAGGGACTACAGGATTGCTGCACTGAGGTCCTGCCTCTGGGCTGTGACCTGGCCCACCTTGTGTGTTAGAAATGGGGAAATGAAGATCCAGGGAGGAGAAAGAGTTGGCCAATGTCAACAGCAAGGCAGAGACGAAGCTGGCCTGAGAGAGAGAGAGAGGCAGGCAGGCAAGCGGGTGGCTACCAGGTTGGGTTAGGGTTTGCGCCGCAGGCGTAGCTCCTTGGCCAAGCCCCTTGGCTGGAGGGTGCTGGTGTATCACTGGGCATGTGTCGCTGGGCATGGGGCTTTGAATGGCAATGGAGGGGGAGGATGAGGTGGCGTTCAGGGGCTCCTTTTGGAAAACAGACACTAATGCCACTCACCCCGAGCAGGCCGAGTTTACCCCTCTCCTCTGTTTCCCATCTTTGCCAAGATGACCATAGTCAAACGGTGATGCAGGGTAGGGCAGGACCTGCTGGAGCAGTGCTGGGAGCCAAGGATGTCCCTGAGCTAGACCTTAGGGAGAACAGGTGCCAGGTGGAGTCTGTGCCAGGTGGAGTCTGTGCAAGGTGCTCTGTGTACCTGCCTGCCTGCTCACCTGCCTTCTGTCTGTCCATCCATCTATCCATCCACCCATCCACCAATCCCCTCTTTATTAAACGCATGTTCAGTGAGCACTTGGTGAGGAAGACAAGCAGGTACTCAAAAAAGATAATCAGATTTGTTTAAGAGCTGTGAAGGCATGTAAGAGGAATGTGAGCTCCACAAGGGTAGATTCCTGCCGTCCATTATTTGACTGCTGTTTTCTCAGCACTTAGGACAGCGCCTGGCTTCTAGTAGGTGCTCCATAAATGTTTGCAGGAGCCTGAAGCAGAAGACTAGCGTTGGGCTGCTTTAGATAGGGGTCAGGGAGGCTGTCTGAGGAGCTGACACGTCTAAATTCATAGGAGCCAAACATGAAGATGCAGAAAAGAGTGACCCAGGGGGTCAGCAGGAACCACGAGGGCCAAGACCCTGGGTAGGAGACGGTTGGCTGCTCCAGTGACCGAAAGGCTGCCAGCGTGGCTGGGGATGACACCGGGGGAGGCCAGTGGGGCAGGGGATGACACCCGGCGGGGCCTGGGAGGCCACAGCTAAGAGCAATGGGAGGAACATCAGGAAGCTTCGGGCAGGGCATGACACAGTCTGGTTCACATTTTTCAAAGATAACTAGTGGCTGTGGGCAGAATGGGCTGTAGCGGCAAGTGTGAAACCAGAGAGGCCTGTTAAGAGGCTGTCAGCTGTCCCGGCAGGAGGTGATGGGCTTGGGTGAGGACAAGGTTCATGAAGATGGAGAAACATGGACAGACCAAGAACACCTTTTGGAGGTAGAACCTCCAGGATCACTTACTGTACTCAGTATTGATCGTATACCATGCCTGGTCCTAGGCCCTTTGCAGATTACTCATTCAGTCGTTGAACAAACACTGGGCCTGCCTGCTCTTTTGTCAGGCCCTGTGCTAGGTACCGGGGATCCCAAGATGAATCCCTGCCCCCAAGCCAAGCACTTGACTTTCATAGAGTGTAACTTGGTGAAGAACATCTTATTTTTATCTCTTCATCACATCAACAGAAACACTTCCCCTTCCAAATGAAAACATTGGCATATTCTAGACCAAAAACTGAAGCCCAAATGCTTCGACATACTTTGCAGCAAACACTGTTTGTGCAGAAACACCAGGAAGTGTGTCTCAGGGACACCCTTGCAAAGCTCTCAAAGTGACAGAGCCTGACCCTGGGAAGTGGGGTGGCCTATGACTGCAGGAAAGACACGGAGCCTGGAGACCTGGTGGAGCCACGCACAGCATTCCCTCTTCCCTGCCCCCAAGTCCTCGGGGAGCCCAGACCTGGGAATGAGGGGGGGTGGCTAGGAGCCAGGAGAAGCATGGGGGAAAGATCTACAGATGATCTGAAGTGCCTCCACACTTTGAGTCACTTGCCATAAGCAAAGGGACACCAATGGTCAGTTCTCACTCGTTCTCATGTACTCCATAGGTTTCAATGGCTGACTTTTTGGAAGTGGATTGCCAGGCCTTTCTTCTGGGGTGCCTCTGGGTGGACTTGAACTTCCAGCCTTTCGGTTAGCAGCTGAACATATTAACCATTTGTACCAGCCAGGGACTCCAGATCAGATTACCTGGGCTCAAATCCCAGCCCTCGCTGTGGCCTTGGGCACACTGCTTAATTCCCTGTGCTTCTGTTTCCCCCTCTATAGAATAGACCTCACTGAGTAACTGTGAGGATGAAATGAGATACACATAAAGGCCTTCCTATGGAGAGAAAGTGATATGTGAATATTAACCACTGGTATTATTAGCAGTCAGACATATGGAAAGTGTGTACAGTCAGGCCCTGTGAATGTGTATAAATATTTATATCCCACGATGAGCAAAAGAGGGCTTGCTGCCTGAGTGCTGCGTAGATCCTTGTCTGGCTTCCCACTGGGCCTTCTCTCCCGGGGGACCCTTGGGAAGCCTTTCCCACTGGCCTGTGGTCTCCAAAGGGCACCAGATGGGAAGCCCTGGAGAGCTGGGTGCTGCAGTTTTCCTAGAGTGTTAATTATTTCCCAGGTACAGGGAATGGGGACTCATGGCTCCCCTTCCCAGGAGATAGGGCTGCCTGGGAGTAGAGGAGAGTCTTCCCGTCCCAGCAGCTCCAAAGCGGAGGCACCTCCCTGGATCAGTTTGTCCTGGATCCTAATGAGAGCAGCTGGTGCCCGCCAGCCCCCTTGGCACAGAGGGAAGCCCATGGGTCATTTCCATACACCTTGTTGGATGGGGCTGGAATGGAGAGAGGAGATTGTTGCTGTCAGAGTCAAATGACCTGGCACAGCTCGGATGGGAGCTGGGGGTAACCAGACCCTCAGTGTGTCCTGTTATGGGCTCTCCCAGGCGTGAGTCCTGTCCCGGCTGGGTGCTATGGCTGCTCCTCATCTGCCTGCCCTGGTCCCTCCCCATGCCAGTCTGCAGCCATGCTACCAGCACAACACCCAGGCTGGGCCTGTGCTGCGCTGCTCAGAAAGCCAAACCTTCCACAGGGATACAGGCACAGTCAGATTTGTGGGAGATCCCACGGGCAGCCTGTGGGGACGGACTGGGTCGGAGGCGGGGAAAAAAGGCAGGAGGCTGTGGCCGTCGTCCAGGCGAGAGACAGACGACAGTGGTGTGGGGAGGCAAGTACACCCCGAGGCCTGGCTGGACTCCCCAGAAGGGCCTGGCCACAGGCGGTACTGGCTGCCCTCTGGAGAGGAGACCCCAGTATGGGTCTCAAGACAGTCAGGGTGCCGGGGGCCCTCTCCCTTGGCCCTGAGTTCTGAGGATGCAAACTGGAGGGTTCAGACAAGGGCAGGCAGGGCCTACATGGATCCCACGTCACCCGTGGCATTATGTTGTCATCACTCGGGCAGGGAAGAGGGCATGCTGTGCATGGCTCCACCACGTCTCCAGGCCCCGCGTCTTCAATCTGGAGCATTCCCCGATCTGCCTTGATCGCTCAGGTCATTGACATTTTGGAAGAGTACAAGTCTGGTATTTTGAAGAATGTCTGAATTTGGGTTTGTCTGATGTTTACTCTCGAGATGAGATTCAGGGGTGCACTTTTGGCAGGAGTCACACTGGGAGGCATGTGACGTCCGTCCGTCGCACTGCTGGTGATGTTCACTTCCAGCACTTGGCCAAGGTGACGTATGCCAGGTCTCTCACTGTCAGGTTACTCTTTCTCTTTATAGTTTATTGTTTAAGATTGAGTCCACTGGTTTTAGTGCTTTGTTTTTTAAAAATCTCTTTTTTTATGTGAATTTATTTTAAAAAGAATGTTTCCATCACTGTAAAGGAAAAACCAGCATCACTTGGCATGGATACAAATAATTAGTACCCAAGTCGCTCACTTCTGGCCAAATACTAATGTTAGCTGGACGCCCAGGGCCTTCCGCCCTCTCTGCCTTTGCTAAAAACGGGAGATTAGCAACTGCCTGGTGGTAGGACACAGCAGCACCAAACTGGGACTCGCCACTCAAAGTAATCACGAGGTTTAGACGAACAAGGCAATCACTAGTGCTCCAGTGGTATTTAAGGCCATCTCCTTGTGCCCCTAAAATTGTTTTTAGAAGCTTTGGAGCCAGACAGATTTGGGTTTAAGTCCAGCTCCAGCAAGGTCTTGGGCAAGTGACTTCCTTCCCCAAGCCTCAGTTTCCTTCTCTGTAAAATGGCGATAAAGAGTTTATGCAAATTAGATGAGAGGGTGAAAGACTTCTAGTCAGTGGTGAATCATTGACACTGGTCATGTTAATTGTGTGCCAGACCCAGA